ATTTCTTGAGCCTTTTAACTGCATAGTTTACCACTGAATTCTACACAGCAGTTTTTATGTTTAAATCTCTATATGTACTATAACAAGAGAAAATTCTGGTTCATCCATTCAATTTTCTTGGAATTGTAGGTATAGTAACTCCTGCTGTACTCTCCAGAAAAAATACAGAAACAAACACTCCTTGCCTCAAGAGATAACTGGCGATATTAAAGAAAGACTAGCATCTAATGACCAAATTTAGCAGGAGTTAGTAATCTAAGTGTTCCCCTCTCATACTCTGCTGTTGCTTCCCTGTGCACAGACATGGCAGGCCTTGAGCTCCTGGTTTCTACAGGGGAATCAGACCTTGTAAACCTTGGCAAATGTCAGTCACTATTCTTTCTACCCCCAGATTCTCCAACGTAATTTGTAAGTTATCTTCAGTCAATGCAACTGGAGAGAATGAAAAACTCACCCTATCTTAAAATTCAAGCCTAATTTCTAACTTTAATCTTTATCAGGGAGCCCTTTATTCAGAGAGTCATTTCAGTGGACATTATTAAAGCTGATAAGCTGATTCAAAATAGGCTTTATTCTATGAGCTAGGACTCTGAAGGGAAACAGGAATTCCTGACTTCCCAAACATAATCTCCCCAATTTGTTAGAAACTCCTTGTTCTCGATTGTTTTTTATTAGACAAAGTCTCACTCTGTAGCCCAGGCTGGAGTGCAGTGGTGCGATCTTGGCTCACTGCAGCCCCCACCTCCCAGGCTCAAGTGATTCTCAAGCCTTAGCTTTCAGAGTACCTGGGATCAAGGGTGTGCGCCACTATGCCCGGCTCATTTTTGTATTTTTTAATAGAGATGGGGTTTCATCCTGTTAGCCAAGCTGGTCTTGAACTCCTGAGCTCAAGTGATCCACCCACCTGGGCCTCCCAAAGTGCCGGGATTACTAGCGTGAGCCACCCTGCCAGGCCCTTTTATGTGTTTGTGGTTTATCTTTATCCTAAGTACACTATCCAGCAAATTGCATGTTCTTGTTTCATAGTTTGAAAAAAGAGATGCAGTCTGGGTCAAAAGCAACTGTAAAGGCCTCAACTGCCTAATTTTACAGGTCTTCTTCCTAATGTTCCTCTAGTCACATAAAATATCTTCTTTCTATAAACTTGTTCCTTTCTGCTAGCTTCTTTAACCTTTAACAAAAATTTCCTCTCCCTCAACAGTGTTTCATAGGCTTCTGCTTATTCATTTCATTCGTTTGATCATTATCTTTTATTTTTCTTTTTTTTTTTTTTTTGAGAAAAAGTCTCACTCTGTCGCCCAGGCTGGAGTGCAGTGGCGCAATCTCTGCTCACTGCAAACTCCACCTCCCAGGTTCGAGTGATTCTCCTGCCTCAGCCTCCCAAGTAGCTGGGATTACAGGCACCTGCCACCACGCCAGGCTAATTTTTTGTATTTTTAGTAGAGACAGGGTTTCACCATGTTGGCCAGGTTGGTCTCAACCTCCTGACCTCAGGTGATCCACCCATCTCGGCCTCCCAAAGTGTTGTGATCACAGGCATGAGTCACCACACCCAGCCCATTTGATCATGATCTTTAATGGTTCTTTCTCCAGCTCATCACTTTTCAATTCCTTCCCTGAGGCAAACTGCCAGATTATCTCAGTATTTCCAGTTCAGACTCAGGAAGTGGGAAATCTTACCAGCCCAGCTCATCCCTTCATGCCGCACCACATCATAGATCCCCAGAAGCCTGGGAAAGCACAAAGGCACAGGGTAAGTCAAGTGTCTATCCCCAGGCCCACCTTCTCCATTTGGCCACCTCAACAACAGCTCAAAATTAACAAGTTGAATTCTTGATCCGCACTCCCATCTTGATTCTCTTCCCCATCTCAGCAATGTGTACCACCATCTGCCAAGTAGTTCAGCCTGATGTGGTATCCTTAGTTCCTCCTTTTCCCTCATCACCCCATGCAAGCACTCTCATCCATCAACTCTCATCAGTTCTTTCTCTAAAGAAGATACTAAATCCATCTTCATTTCCATGAACACCACCTTAATCCTGGATACTGCTATTTCTTCTCTGGATTACTACAACAGCCTTCTAACAGCTTCCTAACTACTTGTGGCACTTCCCCTTCTTTCCATTATTCAATTCATATTCTACACAGCAGAGGTAATGATCTTAAAATATAAATACAATCACACAGATCCCTCACTCAAAATCCTTCAGTAGCTTCCTATTTCTCTTAGAATAAGATCCAGTCTTTTCCCTTGTCTGACACAGCTTTTGATGATCTGATTCCGGCTAATCTCTGAAACCTCATCTTGCAGTATTTTTCCTCACTCACAATGTTCCAGCCACACCTGCCTTGCTTCAGTGACTCAGGATCCTTAGTTCTTTTCTGCCTCAGGGCCTTTGCACATGCCTCTGCTTGCTTGGTGTCCCCCCCCCCCCAATTGCTTTAGGTCCCAGCTTAAATGTGATTTCCTCAGAGAGGACTGGCCACTCTAACCAAAGGGAATCTCCCCCAACTTGCAGCTCTTTATTTTATCCCCTATGTCTTCATATTTTTGCCCACCTCTCTAAATTATTGCGGGGAAAACTACAAAAAACACACAAAAAAGCAAAAGCTAAAAAGGGAGGCACAAAAGAAAAAAAAAAAAACCCTTAAAGCAAACGGAGAAAAAGACAAGAAATTAAGAGGAAATAGGCATGAAAGTATTAGCATTTATGAAAAAATAAGTTTACAAAATTTTTAAATAAGTGTAAATGTTATATACCCCCAAAGCAAACATTCTTACAACTTATTTCTAAGTCTTAGATAATTTTTTCTAACTTCACCTTCAAGATAAGTCATCCTTTCTTGAATTCCAGTAAGTACAATATTCACTAGTGTAAGAATTTATCAAAATGAAGGCTCAAAATGAGTTAGAAACATTTGAAAAAGTCATTATAGCCCCTAGAAGAGTCTAATGCTTCTTTTCTCTTTGTAAGTTTGCATAGCAAGGATCTAAGACAAGTTTTAAAATAAAACAACACTCTTTTAGGGCCATGTGTACATGAGGCATCATTTCTCCACAGTAGCCTGGCCCTCTCGCCTCCCTTTGTCCTCCGCAATGCCTCTTTGTAAATCACAGGTGTTTGTGGGCATAAAGCCCATCAGAAGGGAGTTTATTGTGAAGAGTTCTTTCTTTGCCACTTGTTCTAAACCTGTTCAGAGACTGCTCCATGCCTTAGACCAAATCTCCATAAAAATCAAGAAACAAGAAGTTTTCTGTATGCCTGCCCAACAGCCACACTATGACATTAGTTTCGACAGCTCTGTGACCCCGTATTGTCCCAACTTTATTCACTAGTCTTTTTTTCTCTTTCTCTCTCCACTCCTTTTTTTAAGCCTTTATTGGCATTTTTTATCTACTGTAAAATAAAAAGGAGGAGGATGGGCGTTGTTTTTTTTTTTTAAGTATTCTATGTGGCAGATAAAGAAAAACACTATCTGCAGTTACTGTAGTAATGGTTTAAAAAAACACCTGCAAATCAAAGAAAGACACCACGGCAGTGTCTTCAGATTTTTTTTTCTTCTCTTAAAGTTCCTTCTTGGCCATTATAGAGTAGGCCCGGCAATGAATTTATGTGACAGCTATGAAGTTAGTATTAAAATTGTGAATAGTGCCTAGCAGTTTTCATGCCCTTAGTATAAGATCGCCTCAATTTGCCACACAGCGGTGAATAGGGTAAAGAAGGGAGGGGGTGTCGAATGAATGAGAGGAGGAGGTTATGTGAATGGGAGAGTTTCCCGGGAGGGGGCAGCACAGTTGTCACGGGGAGAAGAGTGATTTATTTTTGAAATTCCAGAATGGAAGACCAAAAGAAATTGCCTAAAAGATCCTGAAGCGCGGAGGTGGGGGTGGGGGGGTGAGATAAATAATATGTCTACACACATTTAGCAAGTGTCAAGGCCAGCTCTAGAAGTAGGGACGGGGTGGGGGCGGCGGTGGTAAATCCATTCCTCTGGTCTTCCAAGATTCAATATTAAATGCCAGCAGGGAGCAGATGTGGGCAGGGGCTGCAGAATAGGGGTAGGGAGCGCGGAAGGAGGGGTTAAGCGTTTATCTCAATAGAAATTAACCACTTGGGGAGAATTAGGAGCGAGCTGCAGCGGGCGGGGGAAGTGGGGGGAGAAGCGGGACAGGGAGAGCGTCTCTCGGTGTAAAGAAAGGAACTTTCCCGGTGCGGAGATCTGGACAGGGCATTCAGTAAAATGAGGTGAGCAGGGCTGCAAAGAGCAAGGCGGGGCGTGCCCTCCACCGCCCCCCGCCGCTCCGCCCGGCCCCTCCGCTGTCCGGCCCCTCCTCACACCCCTCCCCCTGTCCATATTAGCATGCGGGCGGCGGCGGGCCGGCCGGGCTGGGAGGGCGGCGGTGGCAACGCCGCGCGGGGCGCATTGTGGGCCGCGCTCGCCTCCGCGGGGGACCATCTGCTCGCTGTCAATGCATCACCTGCTCGTCTGGGCCGTCGCCTGGGCAACGGGGGGCGGGGGATTAAGGAGCGTGTGCGTCTGGGTCCGGGCCGAGGCGGCGGGATGGGGGTTGGGGCGGGGCGAAGCGCTCCTCGGCCCCTCACCCCTCTGCCCCAGGACTGCTCGACCCGCTCAGGGGGGCGGCGACCACCGCGGCTCCGCAGCTCGCCGCCGCTGCTCGGCCTTTGCTCCCCGGCTGCCTCTTCTCGCGGGAGCGGCTGGAGTCGCGGGTAGGAGCAGAGAGCAAAGGGTCCGGCCCTGCCTCACCCTGCCAGGAGGCGAGTCCCGCGCTCCCCGCGTCTACCTGGAGCTGCAAGGGCCCTGTCCCGACGCGCTGCACGCAGCCTCCTCCGAGGGAGCTGGCGCATTCTGCTGGGTTCTGGGGACGCGGCGCAGCGCGGTTCTGAGTGCCCCGCAGTCGCCGGGCAACCACAATGGGGCAGCCTCGCCGCGAGACCCTCCCCCGCGCCTGCCACCAAAGTCACAGAAAACTTTCACACCTCTCATCTGACACTGTGGTCTGTCCGCGACGCCAAGCACTGGGCAAGTCTTCACCGTCAGAATATGGGTGGCGCCTGTTCTTCAGGGGGCGGGCAAGGGGAGCCCAGTGTTTACCAAAACGGGTTGATTTTCCACGGAACTACGGAGGGGGTAGTTCTGGAGGTAATAAACCCCAGAAATCCTGAAATTCCCCTTCCACCTGCTGGTCTTCATGGAATTCTAAACCATTTTCAACAGAAGAGAAGCCCATCCAGGAGTAATGCAAGCCAACGGCAGGGGGCAGAGCGAGGCTGTAGATGGGGACGGTGGCCATTTGGGGACACTTTTAATCCAAAGTCATGCTCTCTGATTTAGAAACTTTAGAGCAATTTTTTCTCTGCTCTTCCCCGTCTCTATCCCCGACTGGTCAAGGACATTTAGGTGCTCCAACAAAAGTCGTTCTAATGTTCCCGAAGAGTCTACGTGGCTCAACAATGGAGTGGGTAATACCCCCACCCCCTGCCCATAAGCTGTCCATAGACTGCACAGAAGCAATGAGTTGTTGAGGTTTCATCACAACCCGTAATATATAAATATTTTTTCTGGGCTAGCTAAATTACTGGACACTCTTCTGCAGAATCACAGGTTCAGCAGTAAATGGACACCCTCTCCCCCAAACCCACATCTAAAATATCTCTAGCCAGGAAAAATCCCGGCTTGTTTCTTGTTAGGTCTCATTAAAAGGTCTGGCAACTCTTGGGAAACCAACAGTCTTCTCTGATTTAGCAACTCAAACCCATTTTCTGCATTTCTTTAAAAAAAAAAATGTAAGTTTGTGGTATGGACCCTATGTTCATCTTTTCCAGCTAAAATCTCGTCATCATCGAGTAGAATTTGTCATCCTTTTATAATTTCTAAATATGAACACCATGAATCAGGCTAATTTTATGATTAAAATGCAATTTTTTAAATTTTCTGTGATCAAACAGAAAATACAGTTCCACTAATGTATCATTTCTTTTTTCATTCATATGCAAGAGAGAAAAGTTAACTATCAAAATATCCATATCTTTAACATAATAGATGAAGGGTAAAAGGTTTGTATGTATAAACTTGCTCCAAAGATAAAATTCTACCCACCCCTTTACTTTATGACTTCCATAAATTAAATTTGAGAGTTCTAAGAAGATGTGCCCTTTGATCTACAAGGCACTCCTAAATACATACAGTCATGGTATCATTCCAATTTAGAGAAGGGATGAGCTTGAGTCCAACCCTCCTGTCTATAGATAAGGGAGTGAGCCCCAAAATAGTAAGTGACTGGCCCAAAACTGTACTGCTAGTGGCTAGGGATGCCCAGTGCTCTCTTACCCCCAACAACATCACAGAGGTGCAGCTTTGCACACCAACAGCACCTGAAAATGCCCTTCGTCTACACTCTTAACATTCCTACAGCCGCTTGCTTCACTACAGAAACAAGAAATCTTCATCAATTTCAGCAAATAATCCTTGCGTACCTACCATGTGTCAGGCAAAATAGACAAAGATCCCCATCCCTGTAGAGCTCACTCTTTAGTGGTGCAAACAAATTTAAAAAGAAAGAAAAGACCAGGTGCAGTGACTCACACCTGTAATCCCAGCACTTTGGGAGGCCGAGGCAAGTGGATCACAAGGTCAGGAGATCAAGATAATCCTGGCTAACACGGTGAAACCCTGTCTCTACTAAAAAAATAGAAAAAATTAGCTGGGCTTGGTGGCATGTGCCTGTAATCCCAGCTACTCAGGAGGCTGAGGCAAGAGAATCACTTGAACCCGGGAGGCAGAGGCTGCAGTGAGCACAGACCGCGTCACTGCACTCCAGCCTGGGCAACAGAGACTCTGTCTCATAAAGAGAAAAAAGAAAAGAAATACTATTCACTTATTGAACATCTAATCAGCTACTATGAGAGGGAAAAATATATCCACAAATAAGATATGGATATCAACCTTAAAAAGAGAAAAACATACATGAGAATCAGAGCAACATAATCAAATAGAAAATAATGTCAATATGACAAAGTATCATGAAGTACAAAGGAGGCATCAGGTAATTTTGCCTGGGCAATATCATAGAAAAGATGTCACAAGTTTGGCTATATAATAGCAGTCCCTGGCACCTAAACAGGGTATGGCACATAGCAGATGCTCAATAAATAGTTGTTGAATGCACAAATGAATGAACAAATGAATAACGTATTTCCAAGTAGGCAAAAGGAGGAAGATATTCCAGGCAAAGAAATCACAGTATATGAAAATGTGTTACATATATACAATGGGATATTACTCAGACAAAAAAAGAACAAGAGAATCTCCCCACTTGTGACAACATGGATGAGCCTAGAGGACAGGAGGTTAAATAAACCAGCCACAGAAGGACAAATACTGCATAATCTCACTTATATATGGAACATAAAAAAGTCTAACTCAACCCAAATGCCCAACAATGATAGACAGGATAAAGAAAATATGGCATATATACACCATGGAATACTCTGCAGCCATAAAAATAAATGAGATCATGGCCTTTGCAGGTACACGGATGGAGCTGGAAGCCATTATCCTCAGAAAACTAACACTAGAACAGAAAACTTAACTCTGCATGTTCTCACTTACAAGTGGAAGCTGTGCAATGAGAACACATGGACACGGAAGGAAATGACATGCACTGGGGCCTGTTGCGGGGCGGGGTAGGGGAAGCAAGAACATTAGGAAAAATAGCTAATGTATGTGGGGCATAATACCTAGGTGACGGGTTGATAGATGCAGGAAACCACCATGGTACACATTTACCTATGTAACAAACCTGCACATCCTGCACATGTACCCTAGAACTTAAAAGAAAAATAAAACTGTTTTTTAAAAGCCTAACTCACATGAGCAGAGAGTAGAATGGTGTTTGCTAGAGGTTGGGGAGCGAGGAGGATGGGGAGGGAGGGAAATGGGGAAATGTTAGTCAAAAGGTGTAAACCTTCAGTTTTAAGATGAGCAAGCTCTGGTGATCTAATATACATCATGGTGACTAAAATTAATAGTGCTATATTACATACTTGAAATATGCTAAGACAGTTCTCACCACCACACACCAAAAATGCTAATTATACGAGATGATGGATGTCCTCATTAGCTTGATCATGGTCATCATTTCACAATGTAGACATATATCAAATCATTACATCGCACACCTCAAATTTATACAGCCTTTATTTGTCAATGATACCACACCAAAACTGGGGAACATTTTTTTGAGGAATGATATCACAGTACAAACAAAGGTTTAGGGGCATCTGTATTTAAGGAGTGATGAGTGAGCCATGAACTGTGAGCAAAACAAAATAATGGAGAAGATTTGGAAAATGGCATGCTGGCTTGGAGGCATGTTGAGAAGGGATTTGACGACCATGGCAAGACTGTGAATTTTGTCCTGAGGCCCAATAGCTTTTCAGCAGCAGCACACTTGTTTTAAGCAGCATCTTGCAAGAAACTCAAATAGGTTAAAACTGATCCATATTGGGCTGTCCTAATAGAAGCAGGGATAGGCCCCTTGCCCATAATCTCACCATCCAGGGATGGCTGGGGACTCTATAATGCCCATTGAAACACTGTTTGCACATCAGTACAACTGGCAATGAGTCATCTTTGAACATTATAGGACATAAGAATGTGAGTTTGGAAGGAAAGGGGAAGTCAGGAAGAGTAGTTAGAATGCTACTGAAATTGTCCAAGCACAAAATAATGAGAACTTAAATTAGATCAGTAACATTCAGAGTGAAATGGAAAATAAAGAGATTTTGAAAATAGAATCCTTAATATACATGGTCTTCCTGCTTCAGAGAACATAATTTTACCTCTGGTACATCTAAGTTTGGATATGTTTTTAAATGACAATATATTACAAACTTCAGCATTTTAACTGTTACTGTGGCTAACACATTCTCACACTTGCAAAAGTTTAGGAAAAACACAAATTCCTTTGCAGCAAACTGCTTAAATGATGGCTCACATGTCAGAGTATAGATCTTGGGATCCTAAGAGAAGCCAATGGAAGATATAGAAAGATAGTAAAAAGAGAAGCATGTTTGAAAGATATCTAATAGTCCTTCCATTTACTAACCAGGCATACGAATTATTGAGCAATGATCAAAGCCATAAGGACCCTTTCCCTACACTCTTTCAAATGTAAGCATTCGAGTGTTTCTCTTAAAAGTTATATAAAATTATTCATTGCCCACTTACAATTAGATACAATTGCCCATTAAAAGCCGCCCCCCCCACCCCCCGCTCCACCGCAGGTCGAAGGCGTATGACTTAAGGAATGCATGACACTCCTGGATCGGGTAAAACAAAGATATACTCGTACAAACAAATAAGCTAATAAGAGAGGCAGCAAAAGAGAATGGGAAGCCAGAGAAATTCACATGATGAAGATACCTGGCATTTAGCCAAAAGTAAAAACTATAAATATTAATCAGATGAGAATCAGTGTCACTTTACAGCAAGAATGTTCTGTAATCAAAAGGGTGGGTATTGTGTTGTGCATGTTAGCACAATTGCCACCAAAAATATTGGATGCCAGGGGCTCCCGAGTACTGGAAAGGGACTAGATTCCTAAGGATGCCACTTAGCAGAAAATTTGCTAAATATCAACTGTTTATGTCAAATTCAAATGATACTGCAAAGTAAAGGAAGAAGAAATATCAAGGTTTCAAAATTGTGTTCCTGTCTTTAAAAGACAGGAAAAGAAACCTTCCTTGGACATCTATTATTTGCTAGGTGCTTTCCAGACATTATGCAGAAATTTTGCAGAATAGGTGTCACCATAATCACATTTCAAAGATGAAGCTGTTCCAAAGTTGGCTTTGTCATCCAAGGTGTGGCTGTGGTTGAGCATGTCTGAAGTGAAGCAGACGTGACATGTCCCTGAAGTTGGTAAAGTCACAAGATTGTGAGACTGCAATGCTTCCGGGATCATCCCTGTGGGCCGATGGGCCTTGGAGTGGATGAAAGGGCAGGAAGGGAGATACTAATGCTCTCATTTGGGTAAATCAGCAGTAAATCTACTCAGTGGTCAGGCAAAGGAGGTTTGGGCAACATAGTGGGCGTGCCAAAAAAAGAGAGGATAATTGAAGATCAGACTAGCAATGGTTGGAAGAGGCAAAAGGAGACAAAAGTGTGCTGTTCCCTTTCTTTCCTCTGTTCCTAGACATAGGGTTGAGAGAGGATGAACAG